GCCTGATTTTCAAATATTAAACCATCCTTGCATCCCTTGGTCATGGTATATAGTTCTTTGTATATGTCACTGTGTTCTACTTGTTCATATTTTCTTATGAATTTTGCATCATATTCATGAGAGGTGTTACTCTGCATTTTTCTCTTTTTGTAGTTTCTTTCTTTGGTTTTGGTATCAGGGTAATGTTGGCTATTTTCTGGAGGAGCTTGTATAATGTTGGTTGTTGTTAAGTATACCTCTTGGTATAACCTTTTTGGGAATTGTTCTAGTTATTACATTATATACGCATACTTTATCAAAGTCTATTGGTATTGACATTTTACTACTATTGGCGAAGCATATAAACCTTACCTGCCTTTTTGCTTCTTTATTCTCTACCATTTATAATAAAATTGTTTTAAATATTTATTCAACATACATTGAAACATATAAACAGATAGGCAATGTCATAATTTTTGCTTTAACCATCAGACATAATTTAGAAATCTCAAGAGGAGAAGGAAAGTCTACTATATTTGCCCATATTTTTGTTCTTTCCATGTTCTTCCTTCTTTATATGCCAAAATGTCTTCTTTTATCATTTCCTTTCTGCCTAGAGAACTTCCTTTAGCCATTTATTTAAGGTAGGTTTGCTAGGAACAAAATCTCCTAGTTTTACTTCATCTGAAAATATATCTGTCTCTTGCTTATTACTGAAGAATATTTTTGCTAGCTTTAGAATTCTGGGCTGACAGTTATTTTCTTTCAGCACTTAAAAAATGTTATCCTGGGTGGGCGTGGTGGCTCAAGCCTATAATTCCAGCACTTTGGGAGGCCAAGGCAGTCAGATCACTTGAGGTCAGGAGTTCGAGACTAGCCTGGCCAACATGGTAAAACCCCATCTCTACTAAAAATACCAAAAATTAGCCAAGTTTGGTGGTGCATCTCTGTGTCCCAGCTACTTGGGAGGCTGAGGCAGGAAAATCACTTGGGTTGAACCCAAGAGGCAGAGGTTGCAGTGAGCTGAGATTGCACCACTGCACTCTAGCCTGGGTGACAGAGCAAGACTGTCTCAAAAAATAAAAATGTGATCCTGTTTCCTTCTGGCCTACATGGTAGCTAATGAGAAATCCACTGTCTTTAAAATTGTTTTTCCCATATAAGTAAGGCGTTGTTTCTCCTTGGCAGTTTTTAAGGTTTCTTTCTTTGTCTTTAGGTTTTAGAAGTTTGACTATGATATTTTGGCATGAGTTTCTATGGGTTGTTTTCCGTTCAGGGTTTGCTGAGCTTCTTGAATCTGTATGTTTGTTTGTTCATTTGCAAAAGTTGGGAACTTTTTAGTGATTATTTCTTTGAGTACTTTTTTAGCTGTATCCTATTTCTCCTCTTCTACAGGATTCCAGACTTTTGTCGCAGTCCCACGTGTTCCTGAGTTGTGTTCTGTACATGTGTGTTTTTTTTTTTAAGTCTAATTTTTCTCTATTATTCCAATTGGGTAATTTCTATGTTCTACCTTTATATTACACTGATTCTTATTCTCTTCTCTCCATTCTGCTTTTCAGCACATCCATTGAGTTTTTAAAATCAGATTTGTATTTTTCAGTCCCTATTATATCTTCCCATATTTTTATTCTTTATTTGGCTCTATTTTGTATCTTCTATTGTTTTGGTAAGACTTTCTATGTCTTTACTACATTTTCTGTTTTTTCATTTGTCTTAGGTATGTTTGTAATTGCTTGTTGAAGTATTCTTAGGATGACTACTTTTAAATCCCAGTCAGATAACTCTAACATCTATCATCTCAGTTTTCATATTTTTTCTTGTTCTGTTTGAAATCTTCCTGGTTCTTGGTATAAGTGATTTTTTTTTTTAATTTAAGAGGGTATATATTGGGTATTAAGTTATAGGACTCTGGGTCTTACTTAAATCTTGTGTTTTAGCAGACCTCCTGACACCACTCTGGTAGGTTCAGGGGGCCATTGCCTGACAACTGCCAGAGGGTAATTGAAGTATAGGTTCCCCCTCTGCCCCTGTTGATACCTGGGGAATGGGCTTGGTACTTCTTGGCAGGGGTACTCCCTAGCTGAGAGGAGGCGGAGATTCTCATTACAGCCAGATGAGTGTGAAAATCCAGGCTCCTTATGTGTCCTCTGAAGATAGAGGGCAAGGTGCTTACTACCACCCAGTAGGGTTGAGGTCTTAGCATTGAACTCAGCCTTCTCTGACACTCCCCAGGCAATGGAGCAGGCAGTGATGAGCACCTTGTTACAGCCTGGTAAGGGTGGAAGTCTAGGCTTCCCACTAGACCTTTGCTGGCAGGGGCGGTAATCGGTCTGTAATTTTTTCTGCAGTATTTGGCTGGAATAGAAGAGGAAATGTCTAAGCAGCTACTGTCTTGCTAAGCTGCCCCTTTCCTGGTATTCTGTCTAGAGAGAGCATGCTTTTTCTTGTCTGTCTTCTTTCTGTTTTTTTGTTTGGTTGTTTTGGTGTTTGTTTGTTTGTTTGGTTTTGTGTGTGTGTGTGTGGCCTGCTCTCATTGGTGTTTCTAGGTTCCAGTTTCTACAGTATCTAGTCTGGGATATGTGAGGCAAAAAGAAACTCCAGGGAACCCACCATTGTGTCATTCCTCAAGTCTCAGGATCCTAGCTAGTCTGCCACTTCTTCTCCAATTTTCAGAGTCTTCTAATATGATTTTATACATAATTTTCAGGGCTTTTCATTGTACTTAGTAAGAGGAATAGGAAAAAGTATATCTGCTCTATCTTCTCTGAAGTAGAAGTCTCTAAATGTAAATGTTCATGAAATTTAACATGACTACACCTACATAGCTATAATGGTTTTGATGAATCAAATGAAATATGAACTATACTTTCAAAGGTATGAGTGCATCAAAAAACCTGGATGGCAAAAGGAAAAAATAGCTTTCAGGAGGGAAAGCTGTATTCAAGGAAATGACAGAGAAATTTTTTATCTTGTATAAAATATGTTTCCAGATTCAAGGAGAGAAGGTACTGGTCTTGAGTTTCTTAATGCTCATGCTAATTGATGGGAGGATTTGGCCACTTCTTGTCTTCAAAGGGAAAAGAAATCTGTATTTTATTTGAGGAGAGAAGTAGCCATACTGTTCCCCCTTTCTACTGAAACCTGTGGAAAATCTATCCCTGATGTTTGTGCCTCCTTAGCAAACACCCCCAATGGCCCCTGCCTTTTCTGGGATCCTGTTCTAAAGTGAGCTTCTGTTCCAGGTCGCCTGAACTGGTGGTCCACTGTGTGCACAAGCTGTAAACGGCTTCTTCCTCTGGCCACGACAGGGGATGGGAACTGCCTTTTACATGCCGCCTCACTGGGTAAGCTCTGCAGCACAGACAGAGGGTAGCCAGGCTCCAGGCCTGCGCAAGGAAAGACATATGCTATTGAAGGAAAGACATACGCTAAATAGAGTCACCCATGTCACTGTCATCTGGGAAAGTCCCCAGGAGATAGAGCTAACGATCCTGGCCCTTCTTGTCAAGTAGCTTGCAGTTGGTAGAGAGACAGAATACACATAAGAAAAGACCTGGCGTGAGAGAAGGAGGCCTTAAGCATAGCCACAGGGATGGGACTTAGAGACTATTGCCTGGTACAAATAAAAAGGACTTCCTGGAGGAGGTGGGATCTTTACTGAAACTTGAAGAACTTCAGAGACTAGAAGAGGACATTGCAGGCAGGGAGACCCCGCAGATAAAGCATAAAGGCAGGAATGGACAGGGTGTTTGGAGGTAGGGGTGAACAAGGTAAGGCTGGAGCAGGAAGTTTTGGGAGCAGCGCATGAGGCTGAGTAAATGGGGATCCACTATGTTGACAGCAGTCAACAATTGGCCTGGACTAATGGAAACGGACGTAGGTACTGCTCAGATAAATCACAGGGGAGTCGGCATACTCAGAACATACCGCAGAGAGATCAGCAGCCTTGTCCAACAGAGACATGAGCTTCCCAATCACACAAAGCCACACTACACAGAAATATTTGGATAATTGAGGATCATCATCCACTTTCTGGAACCTCAGTTATCCCTTTAGGCCCAGCGTTAGATGCACAAGGCCGAATCCATTTTGATAGGTGAGTCTGGGTTTGCACCAGGGACCATCAGGGCTGGTCGCTCCCTACCCGCTCTGGAGGATAGCGCCTCTCCAAAACACATGACCCTCACACAGGAATGCGGTCCTTGGTCAAACTCGCATCCCAACAGACGTGGCTTTAACTGGGTGCTGTGACCTACCTCAAGGGCCAGCCCCTAGACCTCTCTCTCTTTGGACCTGCAGTGAGGCCTAATCAGCAAGAGGTAGGTGAGATAAGACTGTAACGGGCTTCAAGGGAAATACATCAGGGTTTTGGAAGGGTCCCAGAGGAGGATGGAGACCAAGAGCAAGGGCAACATTCCCCAGGCTTGACCTGCAGTGAGGAAAGGCAAGGCACCCACTTACCTGCTTCATCTCCATGTCATTGGAGCACGCTCTGCTTGTTGGCATTGCAAAAGTACTCCACATTCACCATGGTGAGAAAATGAAAATCAGTGACCCCCACCCAGCGGCGGCCACTCTTAACAGTCTGGTGGTGTCATCGTCTTCCAATCTTCTGTCTATTCTGTAGGTGAAATGATGATCTTGCTGTGTTCACAGTCTTGAATCCAACATTTTCCCTTACGACTTGAGAATTTTCCCTGCTGTTATCCTTCAGACAGACGATTTTCAGTAGTTGGGTCATATTTCATCATAGTGGTTAATATTAACTATTCCCCTATTATTGAGCATATTTTGCCTTGTTCTTTGTAAAACCTGGAGAAAGAATCTAAAAGAATAAATCTCTCATCTGTGTCTAACAGCAGCCTTATTGTGAAGTCTGGATCATGGAAATGCTTTTGTCCCTTGCATATCCAAGGATGCCCAACCAGTTGAGCCTTTGAAAACATCAGTTCATGTTACTCTCCTTCTGAAAACTCTCCAGAGGCTCACAGCTCCCTTGAGATCCCCCTTTTCACTCTCCCTCTCCCCTCAATCCCACTCTAGCCATCTTTCCCTCTTGCCTTTTCTCAAGTACTGCCCCCTCGGGGTCTGTCCCTGGCCTTTCGCTGTGCTGGGACAGCAACTTGACTCCTTCCTCCACCCATTTGAGCCTTTGCTCCTATGTCTCCATTCATGCCACAGCAAATCTGCCTGCCTCACCTCTCCTCGTGGAGCTGCCACCCTCAACATCGTACACTCTGTGCCAACCTCATGGCTGCCTCACTTCCCACTTCCCCACAACATGCGCTCCATGAGATTTTAGGAACTTCATGTGTCCCAGTCACTGCCACGCATACTGCCAGCACCTAGAATGAGTGGGTGGGTGGATGGATGGATGGATGGATGGATGGATGGATGGATGGATGGATTCCCCTGTGCTTTCCCTTGTAGCCAGGGCTGCCCTTCTTTTGAGCGCTTCTCCCACGAGTTGGGGTTCTTGAACACATCTGAGCTGCCAAGAGCACATTCTCAGAGATGGTTCATTTCCCTCTATATCCTCTCAGCACTTGACACAGGGTGAGACCCTCCCGCTGGGAAGCAGGCACTCTCTCGTGGGCCTGGTGTGTGCAGTGGTGTCACTGACACTCTGCTTCTCAGGAAGCTGAGATGCCTCAGGGCTGGAGATGAGGGAAATGGCAGGCCCTGGAGAAGCCAGGATGCTAATGGCCTCCCTCGCCTGGAGCCCTCCATGAGGACACTGGACAGCCTGTCCCTGTCCCCTAGTCAGTCCCCCACCCAAATGTAAGACTTGAATAATGACCATTAGGTCCTCAAAGCAAACCAGCAACATTGAGAGTGGGTTGCCAAGGGCGCCGGGGAGGAAAAGCACTTGATTTTCACCCACTATTATTTTGCTAAGAACAGGATGTGCTGCTTCATTCACCCACTTGCCTTAATGGGAAGCCTCAGGAAGAAGGCTAGAGGGGAATTAACAGAACCGCTGAGTAAGGAGGCTGCTCTGCGTGCAGACAGGAGGCCCTCCCAGTGGGTCGTGGTAGTTTGCATCACCTCTGGCTTGTCTTTTCCTCACGTCCTTTCTCTCCTGTGTTCTCCATGGCCTCCTGGCTCCAGGAATGTGGGGGTTTCACGACCGGGACCTGGTGTTACGGAAAGCTCTCTATACCATGATGAGGACGGGAGCCGAGAGGGAAGCCCTGAAGCGGAGGTGGAGGTGGCAGCAGACACAGCAGAATAAGGAGGTTGGTATCCACTGGCATGGCCGGAGGCCGGGACCCAGGTCAGGTGCCGCCTCGGGCCATGGTCAAGTCCAGAGCATGGTCCCTAGGCCCCAGACTGTCTTATGAGGGGAGGCAGAAACAGTCCCTGGGATCAGGAAAGTCTCCTGCTTTTAAGCCCATGGGGGAGGAGCCTGTTGAAATAGCAGAGTCCCGGCAGATAGCAACTATGCGTCCACTTGTGCTTCCTTAAGGCATGATTATGAAAGCTGCCTACCTCCATTCCCAAAAGCATCCTGGCTTGGATGATGAATTATATATATGGCCGCCTGCTGTCAGGTGCAGCCCATGGCTCTAGCCCCTGTGTGTGAGGTCAGTCCAAAGGGATTCCCAATTGTCCCCAAGCATGGTAAACATGAGGACCTTGCTCTTCTAGAAGAATCTGCCTGCTTTCTGACTACAGTTGATCCATTATCCCTTTAAACTTTGTAATGGCCAGCCACAGTTAGGTGCATGCACAGCTTAATGCTCAGTCATCCCCAGCCCCTGAGAATGACCCTTGTTGGTGGGCAGATTCCCAACAGCTCTGGAATTAGAGCTTGGAGCTTTTGAAAATATAGTGTGCATAGCAAAGGTGGCCAAGAGGGTGCAGTTAGTGTAGTTGGTAGCTACCTATAGATGTGCCTGGCCTGGGTCCCAGTGAGGCTGTTCTGGGTTGGGAGGGTGAGAGGAGGAGGGCAGCGCAGCTGTGGCCCACCCCCTCTGAGCCAGCTCCCCTCTGCCAGTCAGGGCTGGTGTACACGGAGGAGGAGTGGGAGCGGGAGTGGACGGAGCTGCTGAAGCTGGCCTCCAGTGAGCCGCGCACACACTTCAGCAAGAACGGCGGCACAGGCGGGGGGTAAGTTCTGCCCCTGCTCTCCCCAGAAGTCACCTCCAGCTCCAGGCCACCCAGGGCTACACACAGCATGGGTGGATGGCACGGGGGGAATGTGGGACCCTCATGCTGTGGAAGACAGAAAGATTCCAGCTTTCCAGCATTAGCTTCAAGACAAGGATGCACAGAAGGACTGTGGGTGATGGCTGGCCCCTGCCGGGTGCTGGTGGAAGGGTACGCAGCCCCCATATGCACTATGCAGGCAGAGGTGAGCTCACATGAGCTGCCTCCAGGCCACTTTCCTTGAACGTTGCTATGCAGAGCAGGTGAGGTGTGCGCCCTCAGGGCACAGCTGGCCTCTGGAGGTCACACGTGATGGTGAGCGTTCCCACACATTGCCATCACGTGGATCTGGCTCTGAAGTTTGGATTTTCTCCCCAACTAATTAATTTGTGGCTTCAAGAAGTCACCCTGAAAGCAGAAGCTCATTAAGCTAGCCTGCTGTTTCCCAGATGAGCTCCGTGGATATTGTATGTGTTCCCAGCAAAAAGGCTCCACGTCTGTGCATGTTTAGGACTAGCTTGTTCCTACAGAAACACCTTGGATGTTCTAGCGTGGAATGAAGAGTGCGGCCAGACCAACGGGGCAGCCATAGAGCCTTGATCATGGCTTATTCTTCAGTTCGTATTCTCTGGAACCTGAAAGCAAAGGTGTTGCTCCTAGAAAAGGTCTCAGCCAAACATGAGAAAGTGTGAGCAGTAACACCAGGGAGACCCACAGAAGGAGGATTGCATGCAGCTCCAGGCTGCCCTCAGGCTCATGGGCCCTGCAGCGGGCACCTGGGTCCTCATCCACCCACCAAGGCAGGGCCTAGTGCCTCATGGGTCAGCTCTCCCTGGAGGCCCTGGCTGGAAAAGAGGCTCCCACAGAGCTGCAGCAGCAGCGGTGGCGTCTGAGACCATGTTGACAGATGAGATCGTTAGAAACCCACATACGCTGGCACACCCTTCCTCCATGTTTTAAGGCTATGGTATCTCTGTACCAACAGCCTGTCTTGGTAGGACATTTGAGGACAAGCATTGTGAAGTCTCGGTCAACTGGAAAACTGCTCTCTTCCTCTGCACGCCTCCCAGGTCCTGCCTGTGATGGGTCTTAAGCGTTCCTCCACATCGTTTTCACGGTTGCCTCTCTCCCTCCTGCCACAGGGCAGATGCCTGATACATGCTGGCAGACTGGATCCAGTCCAGGTGTCTCTGCCAGGGACAGGGAGGAGTGGGGAAAAACAGCAGCAATGATAACAATAATCACAGGTGATCATCACATACACGTCTCCTGAGTACCCCCATCCAGGAGGAGCTTCCCCCAAGGTCCCATGGCTGGTGAGCCCATCTGACTCCTAAGGCCACAGCCTGGTCCCCTGCTGCCTGCTCCCTGGGGCCCGAGGGATTCAGATGCTAATGGGGACATAGGGGCCACTTGGTGTCTGTCCCTATCTCCCACAGAGTCTGAGTGATCAACTGTAATCTAACAAAAGGATTAGGTCCCTTTAGGAATATCCAAAATGGCCCGGACATTGTCCCATTTAGTAGGATAGCCTGGTCCCCTCTTCCTGGAAGCCACAGTTCTGGTTGCCACATCACAAAAGAGAAGGAGGAACTCGGGGAATGGCCAGAGAGAGGAAACTAAACAACCAAGGGTGGATGGGAGTGACCCCAACAGAAAAGAATGGAGAGGTGAGGCGGGAAGGTATGGGTGGTGTTGGGGAAACAGAAGGAAGGAGGTGAGCACGGGTCGTGTAGGGTGGAGTGGGGTCAGGGAGACCATAAGAGGGACCCATGCTAGGTCCTCTATCTCCTCCTTTCAAACCCTACCTCACAGGCCTCCAGTACGCCTTCCACAGATTGGAAAACCGAGCCTCAGTGGGATTACATAACTGTTCCAAGACCACAAAAATGATAAATAGAGGAGCCAAAAAGTCAAAATGTGGTCTGATCATTGTAGAGCCTCTTTTGACCAGGCTCCACAGCCCTAACGAAATCCCTCAAATACAGCAGAGTCTGTAGAACCTCAGGCAACACATCAGCCTGCAAATGAAACCACCACTCTGGGCTTCAGATGGTGATGGGAGTGAGGACGCAGCCACCTGGTCCCCACAAAAGCATTGATGCTCAGGTTGGAATCCTGTGCCAATGATGCAGGAGGCACTTCTAGGGTTTCAGCAACAGGTGTTTCCAGTGGAGAAAGAAAAAGGAAAAACAAACAAACAAACAAAAAAAACACCTCAGAAGAGGACAGAACACATGCAATAGGAATCTATCTAACAGAGTTGCTTCTGTAGCCAGATGCCTCCTTGGGTTACCTGGAACCTTTGCATGGCCAGTCAAGGAGGGAGGCCTATGGAACCAGGCATAAAACGCACATTTTCCTGGGAACAGGGAGTTTTGACTGAGTCCCATGGACTAGGGTGATGGGCAGAGAGCGCCTCAGCAAGGCACCGTGCAGCTGTGCAGGACTCGCCAACAGGGTGCTCTAGAGCGGCCAACTGCTCCAAGAATTCACTTGGGGTTCAGAGTCCATAGAGAGGCCTGTGTGTCCAAGCACAGTGTGCTCTGCCTTTTGCCTGTGTCCTCTCTCCCCATGTTGAGCTGAGGGGTGTGGGGCATCATCTGTGGGGCTTGAGAGCGCAGAGACGAGTTTCTGACGCCTGACTGAAGGGCCTGAAGGCAGAAACTGGCAAGCTCAGGGTTCACGGGGCTGTGGCAGGCTGTGCAGGCCAGGACACGGGGCTGTAGGGGATGTAAGGCCAGGATGCTGCGAGCTGCCCGAGGGCCAGGCATGGATTCAGGGAGGAGGCCCCAAGCAGGCTGGCTTCAGGACTCACCTACGGTGGGGACCACACAGAAGGCCAGCCCCTGAGGCCAGGGCTGAGGGTGGACACAAGCAGTCAGTGAGAGGAGTCACCAGCGCAACCCAGGGACCTGAGGACACAGCCCCTCAACTGGCAGAGAGCTCTGAAGACCCACAAAAGCACTTCCTCAGACAGCAGGCCAGAACTGGGACCTCCAGCGAGCCCAGCAGGCCCTGAAGGAAGACAGCAAGAAGGACTTTGCCACTCTCCTGCCCCTCCTCTCTGCCTGTGCTAGCCCCACAGGGGACACAGACGGCAGCCAGAGAAGGGGAGGAGGCAAAGGGTGAAACAGAGAAGCCAGCTGGCAGCTAACCCAATCTTTCAGGAGGCTCAAACTTGGGGCTGATAGCCCCCTGCACAGGAAAGTGACCGGAAGAACCACACAGAATTTCCAGGGTGCCACCCGGGAATAGGAAAGAGCAAGTTAAGGGAGAGTTTGCAGGCATGATGGCGAGAAGAACTAAAGTGGCCTTCTTCGTCCCAGCCTGGGTTTCCCAGAACCTGTTCCCCACGGATGAGGGTAAAGGGGTGCAGTGCGGGCCCTGCATCCTGCTCTGGGAGCCCCTGCTATGGAGGCAGATGGGGCAGCCTCTGTTCTATTGGTCCTTGACACAGATGATGGCCTGGAGTCATTTTTAAACCTGATACTTTCCCAGAAAGCGACTATGTCACTTATCTGAAGAGGTCAGAAGGGACCAGAGACCAGGTGTGGGCGTGAGCTAGACCCTCTTCCTCTCACTGTGCCTCCCAGGACTCAGTGGCCAGGCCCTGGCCACGTGGGAGAACCAGGCCTTCCCTAGGGCTTGGGGAGGGGTTAGTGAGATCAGATGGGAATTTGAACAGTGTCACCTACTGAGTCCATGTTATGCGTCAGGCAGTCCCATGAGCTGTCATTATCATCACCAACCACAGATAAGGAGGCTGAGATTCAGAGAATTAGATAATGTATTAGTCAGGGTTCTCCAGAGAAACAGAACCAATAAAAGACATATATATAAAGAGATCTAATGGAGGTATTGGCTCACGTGATTATGGTGTCTAAGAATTCCCACGACCTGGCATGTGCCAGCTGGAGACCCCGGAAAGCCAGTGGTGTAGTGCAAAGATCCAAGAGCTGGAGAACTGATGGTGTGAGTCTAGTCTGAATCTGAAGACCTGAGAACCAGGAGTGCCGAGGGCAGAACGTCCATGTCCCAGCTCAAACAGGTTTGGTTATTCTGTCGTCCTCCACTGTTTTCTTCCCATCCGTGAATAGATCAGATGAGCCCCACCCACATTGGTGAAAGCCATCTGCTTTCTGCCCTCCAGCAATTCAAACGCTAATCTCATCCAAAACGCCCTCGCAGACACACGCAGAAATAACGTTTAACCGGCTAGCTAACCGTCACAGGTTAGCTTCCAGTGTCCCACAGGCTGAAAGGTACAAAGCCAGAACCTGAACTTAGAACTGACCAAAACAGCGAAGCCCACACTCTTGACAAATGCAGACCAGGCATGAGGAGTAGGAATCAACAACTTATCTTGACTATGGTGAAAATAATCATTTTTGTTCTTTAAACTTTTTAAAGAACTACTTATTTGTTTTCTGTTTTATGAGAAGGGTTAAGTGGAAGCTGAGAGGCCAGTTGGATGGACAAAGAGGAAGGGAGAGCACAGCAAGGGGGGCCTTTGGGGGATCCTCTGGCAGCCCCCGGGGCATCTTCTGTCTAGGTCCTTAACTTTTCTCACATGCTAAGCTCTCTGCTTTCTCTCTGTAGTTGAGTTTCTGAAATTTCACTGACAATGTGTTTGCTGCATTGCTTTTTATTAGCCTTTTTCAGAAGTAGCTAGAATCCCAAGTGATTTCCTAGCACACAGTCTGAGAGTTGTCAGTTTCGGTCAATCTTCTGAGGAAAAGCAAGAGGCATTTTTTTCCTGGGAGCTGCCCACACCACAGCCTGGTGCTCCCAGGCCATGGGTTGGCCTTGTGCAGGAAAGGAGGCATTCTTATGTGTATTCCTGAAGGTTCCATGACTTCCACCAGCAGACCAAGCAGAAAGAGCATCTGCTAACGAACGTAAGGTGTCCTCACTTTGCAGATGTGGGACCTGGCTCAAATTTTTAAAGACGTTTCTCA